TGTGTATGTGTGTGTGTGTGTGTGTGTGTTGTCATTTGTTCGTAATTTTCTTTCAATATTTTTCTATTGTTCTTTGTTGCTTGTTTGCTTGGGGTTTTTCTGTGTTTTTTTGAAGAGGGTGAACAGGGATGGATCACAGACAGACAGATAGACAGACAGATAGATAGACAGGGCCAGAGAGACAGATTGAGAGAGAGGGAGAGAGGGGGGGAGAAGAGAGAGAGAGAGAGAGAGAAAAATAGAGACAGAGAGGCAGAGAGCGAGACAGAGACAGAGAAACTGAAAAAGAGAGAGGGAGAAAGAGAGGAGAGAGAGAGAGGAGAGAGAGAGAGGAAGAGAGAAAAGAGAGAGATACCTACCTACCTACCTACGTACCTACCTACCTACCTACCTATCTACCTACCTACCCAAGTACCTCCAACCTGCCCCAACTGGATGGAGACACACGCAAACTCCCAATACATGTATAACCAAAGCTCAGATTACGCCGTTAACGTTGATGACTCGAACCTGCAACATCCGTGCCACAGACTAGACCTAGCAGCATGATATCAGCAGAACTCCCATGTCCCTCTACTTTCCTCAAGGATATCATGATATCAGCAGAACTCCCATGTCCCTCTACTTTCCTCAGGGATATCATGATATCAGCAGAACTCCTATGTCCCTTTACTTTCCTCAGGGAAGAAACCCAGGCCAGTCGTTCGACGTGTTCGGTGACGGAGGCAGCTATTACTTGGCGTTTCGGGGAACGGCCGGAGTCGGAAGGTCTGTCTACGACGCTTACGTGAAGGACGATGCCATCAACTACGAGCCATGCTGTAAACAGGTGAAGCATTATTTCACTATCCTAGAACTACGAAGCTAGGCCATCCCCCCCCTCCCCCAAAAGAGAGGGGGGGGGGGGTTAACATGTTCTTATGTACAGTAGAATTGTAAATGGACTGATTTATCAATGTCATGCTCATACTGTGCCGGAACAACATAGAGGGAACTACTCTTTTTCTTTCCTCATCCTTACTATCTTCAGTTTTCCTTTACTTCTTTTTATATGTTTGTCACTCTCTTGTGAACTTCTATTTCCAGGGTGTCTTGGTAGTCGAAGCAGACTTTGTGTTGTTGAGGCTAGAGAGATGAACAGTGTAAACCTGATTCCCCGTTTGGGACTTCTCTGTTGACATCCACCCCTTTGCGCTCATATGACATTGTGCAGTTGCGGGCGCCGTAAAACCTTACTAAAACTAACACGAAACTAAAACATATATCAGCTCAGTACCTAGTTCGGAGAAATTCGACGTCAAAAATTTTGAGTTTCACAATATTATGTCAAGCGTTTTCAAATGCATTTCTTTGAATATCTTGATAACGACTGCGAATAATCTTATGATTTTGATAAAGCAGAATCAGATAGAATATAAATTAGTTTGTGATCTCATGGTCTTAGTAACTCAAAACTTCCAAAAATGTCGGATAAAACTTGGTAATTCTTAGGCGGCGTTAGAGCAACTGCTTTGGGGTGGGGGTCGGGGTGGGTGGAAATGTATTTTCCATTTGTTTACATGCCTCCTGCCGGCGCCTGTGGTATAATGATAAGGTTCTACGTCTTTGTGCGAAAAAGATGTGGAGTAGAACCATTTAAACGCGGGGAATAAATTTTGTAAAGTGTGTCTTTCGTTCTAAATGGATAACCAAACCAGTACGCTTTTCACTCCATTCGAACAGAATATGACAACTCTCTATATAGTAAATGATTTGTTGCCTTCATGTTGGAAGTGAGTTGGGTCTATACTTTTTTACTTCTTTATCAGCGCCATCCATCTCATCTCCCATTGGTTGTTAATAAAGGGGGCATACATATATATATATATACACACACATATATTTAATATAGATAGATCTAGATTCTAGATGGACTGATTACCAGTTGTCACCTTTCTCATGAAAATGTTGCAAATCTGTATAATTTAAACTATCATGAGTATCTTCGTTGAAGGATCGTTTCTCCGTCCCTCCCCTATCACAGCTTCTCTTTTTTGCTTCATCTGAGACTTTACTCAGCAAAGTTAATTTCTTGCAATGGACTCTGTTCCCTCTTCCACAGGTGAACGGTTCTTTGCCTTGCAGTGCTCACTACCGAAACAACGCCATCTTGGATGACTGGCAGTTCATTGAGGAGGTGGTATTGGCTGTGTATGAGCGTGGTGTCATCAAACAGGCCTTGACCTTTGACGCCGCCGGCACAGACTACCTGTCCTGGTTCAGTCCTGGAAATCTCAAGGGCGCTGGAAAGTGGGAGGATCTGAAGGAAAAAACCACCAACTTCTTCTCCATTGCTGGGGATGCGGGCTTGAAACGCCGCTTCTACATTAACCAAATATACTTGGGCTGTCTGGCTGATATTGGTTGGTTCATGGCCATGGATAACCCTCTGCCCCCATGTCAGTATGAAAAGCATTCGTCTTACCCACAGTTCTTATACAGCAGTGGCACCGGACGTATGACATGGTCTTCCAGCGGGGAACTCGCTCAAGCTGACGTCATGGCTGTGTTTGTCAAGTTTTATAAAGGCTGCTCTGCTTAGTTTAAGACAGGCCCAGCTAAAGTTTCCAATTTAAAATATAAAAAAAAAATTAAAAAAAAAAAAAAAAAAAATAAATATAAATAAAAAAAAAAAAGATATATATATATATATATATATATATATATATATATATATATATAATAGAGGATAAGTGAATAAGTGGATAAGTGGATAAATAGATTAATTAATAAATAGGTAGATACATTTAAAGAATATTAAATAAATGAACGGATGAACGAACGAATATCTTATTGAATTATTGAATGAATGAATGAATGAATGAATGAATGAATGAATGAATGAATGAATGAATGAATGAATGAATGAATGAAACTCAGGGAAACAAAAAGATAAACCAAGAGAGAAAATACAAACAAGCAAACGAACGAACAAACAGTTTACGAGTCTAAAGTCTGAGGTTGGCTAAACGTAAAACAATATTATATCGGGTTAGCTCATGGCAACTCCCTTGTACACATCTTCCCTTTATGTTCCTCGTATCTCTCTCTCTCTCTCTCTCTCTCTCTCTCTCTCTCTCTCTCTCTCTCTCTCTCTCTCTCTTTCTCTCTCCCTCTCTCTCTCTCGTTCTCTCTATCTATCTATCTATCTATCTATCTATCTATTTATCTATCTATCTATCTATCTATATATATATATATATATATATATATATATATATATATATATATATATATATATATATATATATATATATATATATATATATACATATATATATATAAACTCACACACAAAAAAAAGTTAAATCAAGGAACAAAAATTCGAATAACGATAACTAAAAAGGAGTTTAACCGAATGTATTCATCTTTTTAAAAAAAAGACGGTTTCGACTCTCTAGATTAAGTGTGTTTCAGCAGCAGCGAGAAGTTTATGTAAAATGAGTTTGAATAACACTGGTCGGATTTCAAAAATCTGAACAGCCACTGTTTTTCATAAACAGTGTCAATAGTGGGTGTAGCCACCCTGTTTGATCAAACACACTGTACAGCGTCGAAGCATGGACAGGCCACGCCTTCGGAGAACTTGTTGCGGTAGGTTCTGCCACCCCTGAACGAGGTAGCGCAAGTGTTGTTGAAGGTTTTGGGAAGAAGGGTGGTTGTCCCTTATCAGCCCGCCAATGTGGTCACACATGTTCTCTTTTGGGTTCAAATCCGAGCTACAAGCTGGTCAGTCCATGCGGGTGACACCTCGCTGCTGCAGGAAGTCCCCCACGATGCGTGCGCGATGTGGCGTGGCGTTGTCGTCCCGCAGAACAGCCTGGGGGTCCAATCTGCAGCAGGTGATGAACATCAAGGGGACGCAAAAATTCGTCCCTGTACCTTGCCGTGGTCAAATTGCCCTGTATATGGTACAGGGGGATGGGGGGAGGATGGTGTCTTGTGGTGAGTTGAAAAGTCTCCCCACACCATAACGAACTCTCCATTGAAGGGCGCCACCAGCTGGATACAGTCAGGGTGGCACAGCTCTTATCGGCGCCTCCAGACGTGGGCTCGCCTGTCTGTGTACAGCAGGTTGAATCTGGATTTGTCCGAGAAGACTACCAGGTCCCACTGATGTCGGGTCCACTGTGAATAGAGAGCAGACTACGTTCGGCGAGCTGCTTTGTGGGCCGGCGTGTGCCATGGGTGCCTGACAAGAACACGAGAAGCGAACCTGGCTCTACGGAGACGGTTCCTCACCGTTTCCTCGACATGTGGACATTGGCTGTTACCCTTAGTTCGCCCCTGATGCGGTTTGCAGTGGTGGTTCGTGACGTCACGGCATGTTTGACGATGAACCTGTCGATCCTGTCGTTGGTCAAACGGGGCCGCCTTGGTCGGGGTCTGTCCTGGACCCTTCCGGTCGCTCGCCATCGTTCTTGCAGCCTCCATATGACTGAAGGGGACACCCCCAGTCAACGTGCAACGACTCGGAACGTGGAGCCATCTTGGAGCCAGGCAAGGGCTCGTCGTTGGACCATCGTGTTGTAATGAAGCGTGGCTGAAAATCTCAAGCTTACAAAGGGTTAAAAGTGAGCGATATTCACAGCCAAGACATCTGTTTAGCACGTGCAATGCTCAGTCTTAGCCACCAGTCCCTATACCAATGTTGCTGAGTCAGAGAAATTTAGCCCTTTTTTTGTAACTGTTTTACGGCGCTCGCAACTGCATAAGGTCATATGAGCGCGCGGGACACATCTAATATTTTCAGTTGGTAGGAAATTTTGAATTTTGCCCGGATAGCGGCCGAAGCCTACTCTTATCGATTTTAGACCACCAAGGGGTCTTTAACGTGCGCAACTTGGACACGGGCCCTCCGAAATTTTTTGCTCTTGTTCGAGAAGGCTAGATATCCAGAAGAGCAGGGGTGTGGCAGAAAGACAGCAGTAAGTAGAGCCGAGGAGTAGCAGTTGAGAAGCAAATTCCGTACACAAAGACAACACAGAGAGTGAAACAAACAAACAAACAAACAAAACAAACAAACAAACAAATAATAACCTAAAAAGCTGAGCTTGCAATCTTTTGCAAAAACTGTGGCTGTTACATCCCTCACATCTAAAATTGTTTGCTGCAAAAACCCATTGTCTGTCTAGGCTTAGAAATAAAGTTTGTTAGCCACCCTGCTGTCATTAAAGAGAGCGGTTCAGAAAACATAACATGTAGCTGATGCTGTTGCTGCTGCTGTTGTTTTTATTATTGTTGTTGTTGATTTGTTATTGCTTCTGCTGTTTTTATATCCCTTGTCATAACGCATTGATTCCAGGATAACAGCCATTTTGTCACAAAGTGCAAAAGTGCCTTCATCTGAAATAAATTTTGAAGTACGCAACACCCCCCTCCTCCCCCCCACCCCCAGTCTTACCGTCTTTCCCTCTCCCCTCCCCATCCA